ATGACTGCCCAGTTCCTGGAATAAATGAGCTGGAAGCATTAAAAACCAAAGTAACCACAAAGATACCCATATTTAGGCGGAAAACTGGTATATCTAACAGACCATTTCTGTGTGGATGAAGTCGATTGTTTATATTTTGCAGTTCATGTTAGATATCCTCTATACCTTTGAAGTAAATAACCCTGTAGTGGATGATTTTTCACACATTGATATCACTACAATGCAAGCTATTACCTTTCAAAAAACGGCCGAATTTCAAGATTCTGACGGGTATGTGATTGAACTTTGATATAACATATAGCTGAAGATACGGCATACATCATTCGCGAATGGCGAGAATACTGTTTTGTGCCATATCTCAAAAAGAAGCCCTGGGAATTCCGCCCCCTTTTCTTTGCGTCAGACAGTCCTGACTCATGCTACGGGAAAGCTAGTATCAGCAAGATTTGTTTCGTCAGTTGGTCATCATGTACTTTCATACAGAGCCAGTGTTCACGTCGGGACTACTGGTACACTTCCACATTCCTATGATCACTCTTGTCTTCCCACACAATTAGACAGCTCCATATATTGGCTAAAAGCTAATCCTACGCCTTTTATTAAAGTTGAACACGCTTGTTGAGTCTTTATAGAAAGTTGGGTAGAAGATTTTGGATGCTGTTCTGCTGTTGCCGCTGACCGAAACCAAGTCTAATCTGTAACCTTGAAGGGCATTTCGATATTTTGAATTGACTGTCTAGAAGGATGTTCCCGTGGTCAAATTTAAGTTTCACTAATGGTTATCAGGGAAGTCAGATGAACAGATTTTGTACGTTTCCAGGCATTCACTATACTTTCAAAATGAGTATGTATTGCACTTCATCATGCTTATTTTACAGAAACACTCCACTTTTATGACATGCCCGTCACTTCAGAAGGTAGTGATTTCGAGGCTTTTGTATACAGTACTGTGAGCACAATCTTACGTACTTTATCAGGCAACTTCAGCCAACGACTACTCGTGGATATAGCAACGGTTTACAGTTGGAATTAGTGTTTTCTTAGCTACGTACAGGTTTTCGCGTCATGAGTCTGTTCATAAACCTCTAAAATTCCACATCACGAAAAAAGGAAGTCGCTTGCTCGGTCATAACAATCAGATAATTTGCAAACCTTAACTACTATCCAAGCAAAAGATTAAGCTGTTTTGGCCAAATGCCATAGTGATTGGGTCTTTTTGATTTACCTTTAGTTTTCAGCACATGTTGCGTGCGTTGTCTGACTAAACTGCTGTACACATATATTCTATGTATTTCTTCGTTCTTATTGATGTGCGCAGACGTTGTGGCTACTCGACGCCCACAACGTAAATCAAAAGGCACTTGCGAAGATTACGAATATGTATTGAAGCAGTAGTCAAATTCGAAATTGTGTCAAGGTAATATTCAACAGTCAATGGACAAGTATTTGCGAAGTATATATAAAATCGGTCTGTATACACACATAATGCAAGTATACAAATTAGATTAAAAAGCATGTTTACGGTTGGTATAGGGGTACTACACACATACAGTTTAGAAAAAGTACTGATTGAAAGGTTACTACAGCACAACAATTTAAGTGAGCCTGGTGGACTAACAACACGTCCATTAGCTCATAGAGGAAAGGTCTGTTCCAAGGTCTTACAGGTTTGTAAGTGTTACTTACACTTAAAATAGACCTCAAATAACCACACTTACTAAATGCTTCCCCACTTGATAACCTTATCAGTACTCTGCCTAGCATGTAAGTAATGACGAACGAAATCAAAATAAAGGCTTGAGGTGGGAAGTGTATTTAGGACGGAGTCGTATTTTACACAAATGAAATATCAAATTTAATAAATAAAGGTGTTATACAACTTATCTGCTGCCTCGATTGGTGGTAAGTTTGAAGAGTGGGATGAGTGAAAGCACAACGAGAGAGCGAACCTAGTATGTACAGAAGAGTCGCAAATCAAAAGATGAAGTGGCGCCAAAAATGAATGAGTGCGTTGAAAGTAAAGCTCAAAGGTTCAAGACACACCACAGATTCATTGAACCAACTGGTAACTACAATTCGTGGAGAAATTTAAGGGTCACTGAAAATAAGGAAATCAAAGTAAAAAGGCCTGACACTGGAAGTGTGTTCTGAAGACAGTTGTATTTTACACAGGAAAATTATCGATCTTAATAAATAAGAATGTTCTACAACTTACCTGATGCCTCGGTTGGGCAGTAAGCTCGATCAATGGGCTGAATGGTAGCACAACAAGGGAGTGAACCAAATGTATACAGTCGCGTCGGACGAATGCTTTGAAACAAAAAATTCAAACATTCAAGGTACACTACAGGTTTCTCACTGAGGTATATTTACATTCCTATCGGAGAGGATGGATCTTTTTTTCAAAAATGCAAGTATATATATAGTAGATTGTTTTCCAATAGTGTAAGTACTTACTTCCTCGAGTACTTTTGTGGTGGACCTTTCAACTCTATTAGCTTAGTTACCCAAATTCAAGTAGAAAATAAAATACCAAATGAGTTTAGTTACGGGAATAATGTATTAAAGTTTGATTACTTGAGTTTACAAAGGTCCACAGTCCACAATAAACGTAATAGACTCCAGGTGCTGCGGAAAGACTGCTCCAGTAGTAATTCTCCAATGTTAACGTTGCCGGAGGTCGACCAAAGTACGTAGGAAGAAACTACGGTGCTCCTGCAAAAATCAGAGATAGAAAGCAGGTGATTAGGATTGATCGACGGCAGTTGAGATGGTGGAGAAGACGGAGAGTTGAAGGCACAACTATATATTTATTCAAAACCCGAGGTAAAGTCAAAGTACAGAGTTTCTGGTTAAAACAAAGTGGTGTACAACATGTTCATTATTTACATAGTAGTAAAATTTGGATAAGTTGATTTTTGAGGACTCCACACTTTCAAAGAAATTAGAAGGTGGTCCATATAGAAGTTTCGAGGAACATTATATACTATGTTGTTTACCAGTTGATATTTTTGGATTTTCTCACAAGGGTTGTTTGTTGGCTAGAGAAAATCAAGTAGTTTCTTAACGCCCATAAGTTAAGTTATAGTAACAGATTCAAGCTTGCTAAGATTTCAATCCTCACTTCTATGAACCAGTATTTAAAATATGTTGATGAAAAACAAGAGCTTATGTATGAACAAGGAAGACGAAATTAATGGTTCAAATGCATGATCTGATGAATTATAAATGCAGTAAATCTGGCAAGCCACCTAACTATTCGAGGAACTGCGGTATCCCGTCATCATAAAACATTTGACTAATCATCCTGAATTTAATGTGCTAAACACCATCTTGTTCAGTGATCTTCTTAGCCTGTAAGTATTGACAATTAAACGTAAATGAAAGGACTAAAATATTTAGTAGTATATTCAAAGGATTTATGCGTATATATTATGTACAGATTAAGATGGTTTTTCGGTAAAACCTAACCAACTTTTCATTATAAAAACATCTGAGCTGGGGAATGTGCTCATTAGCATAAAAGGAGGTGTAAGGGATCAAAGGATTTCATCCGTTTAATTGAATCCCAGCCATTCCGCTTTCAACGGTCGGTTTTTTATCTGTGCTGAATGAAGTAGACTGCGGACGATTGGGTTTCCAAGGGACAAGGGTGAGACTGTGCATTGTATTGCGATCGTGTATCTTTGAACCGTTTTCATACCATCGTTAATCAATACTTCTTTGGACAGGCGTATCATATTTTCCCTTCAGTAGTTGAGGCAATGTCAAGATCAGCCTGACTACCAGGTTAAGTGGGTCAGGTTGAACAGTACAGGATAGTGTGGCCAAATGTCAAGTTGTAGCACCTCTATATTGACTCTAACTGTACGTTTATAAATTAATTCATCTGCAGAAACTAATTTGACACAAGCTTGTGAAATATTTACCGTTGTATTAGTGAACATTGATTTTCGTTTGTTACATATATATATTTTTACACGAACGTACACTTTTCTGTTCGTTTCCAGCTTTTTGAAATCTGATTTCGTTAACAATCCATCTTCTTAAGCTTTTAGTTGTTCTTCTTAGTACGACTTTGTTCTTCCTTGATCGTGCATGGTGTGCACACACAGTAGAGCATGAAAACGTAGTGTACTACAGTATAAAAATATAAATCATATTTAGTACACTACAAGGTATGGCGGAGTGGGTCTTCCTAGAGTAACATGAAGGAGATCGTGCGAAAAAAGATGAGAGAGTTTGATCAATCGTGGACCCAGATGAAGATGACGGCAGAAAACAGAACAAAGTGGCGATGTGTTGTTAAAGCCCTGTGTTCCACTCGGAACGCAAGGGAGTAATAATAATAATTATAATAATGTCTAGCATGTTAGATGGCCACATAACAATCGGGAGCGTTATTTCTTGTTGAAGTCAACCTGAGGCGAATTCAAAGTCGCTCAAGCAAACTAACCAACTGTTTTCTTAGGGGATCACAAAGTGGCGCCAAATGCATCTGGGTGAATGCTAGTTATAACCAAACTTAAACCATCCAAAGAATTCGCAAGTAAACTTTCATTTTATTTAGCTAATACTTAGTAGCCCTAGTCGTATTTCGGTGCCTGTATATTAAACTACTGTGGAAACATAGAATGTTTTCATTACCATTGAATACCAGTGTTTCATTGACTGAACTATTTAGTACTCTTCAAGAAAAAACTCGCGAATTTCTCCAAACCTACTGTTGGGTGTATTTGCCAGGTGCAGTAAAAGTCACATGATCATACATGCATTAACTAGAAGATAAAATTAGTAAGGAGGTTTTTTCTAGAACAGCGTGAAACGAGACAGAGTAACGTTAAAATCACACAGACTATTATTAGTTTAGTAGTGGATAGCAGTGGAGTTTTATGTGCGTGTTTTATTCTCTCTGGGAATCACCGTCCGGAAGTAACCATTCCCGAATAGAAGATATTGCTTACTGAAACTCATATGTCTCAATAAACACAGAGGCGATCCTGTTTCGTGTACACTATAATTTTCTTAAGAAATATTCTTTAAGATTAATTCTATTTTTGACAAATAAGCAAATCAATGTGTAGAATTAGATTCGTTTTTTGGAGCGTTAAAATGCATCACAAATAAGGCATATTACTTTTATTCTTCTTGAGTTTTGTCATAGGAGCTACTATAAAATCAGCATTTCACATGCAAATGCTCTAACTAATTCTTGAAATATGTGCTAATTGCATGACGTTCATTTGTAGAATAGCAATTATTTTTTGATCTACTCATGTATTTCTGCTCGAATAGTCGAACTACTTAAAATGTTATTCAGTAGTTTGCTAACGTTTTTTAAAAAACAGTCTCACAAAACAGTTTGCAAAGAAGTACATGTATCTTAGTTTACTGACCAAAACGAAAGTTACATAATCAGCTAAATGCTTATTATTTAATAAGTTCTTACATAGTTTTCAACAAATGAAATATATTTATTCAATGAGGAGAAAATGTCAAATCAGAAAATAAGAATCGAACTCCACCAATTACTGTTGGCATTTCATTCATCAATTTATTTCTTTTTAGACGAAGTAGCTTTAGGAAAATTCTGACGATCACTTGTATCCACTATAGAACTTCTTGAATTCAGCTTATTCACTGACTTTTTACCACTATTTCCATTATTTATTCTTCTTGAATCATTTGAACTGTAAGCTAGGAGTAACATTCGCATTTCTTCTAGGCTGATTTTCCCGTCATTATTGAAGTCCCAGTTTTGGAGAATCATAGATCGAGTGTAGTCCAGATCAGATTCATCAAAATCCTGATAAAGAAAACAAAATAAAAACCAAAAATTGGGGGTTATCACTTATATTTAAAATGAATAAAGACAAATGTTGCTGCAATTATTCTTTTCTTTCGGATCAAGTTCAGCATAGAGTTTCACTTGCATTTTTCTATTGCCGTTAATTTTTCCTGTAGATTTCGACTAGCTTCACAATTGTCAGCAAGCTGTTGTTTGCTTTTCACATGATATCTCCCATGGATTTGCGCCCAACTAGCTGCTTCCCCATTCAAGTTCAACTCGGCAGTCTGGTGTGTGATATCTCTTGATTCTTACCAGCTGTCCCCGAGTGTGTTTTCAGTCTGTCTCCATTCCATTTTGCAAATTTATTGAGAAGTAGGTTTTGATTGATTTATTGTCCGGTAAAGTTCGTTGTTCCTTTTCTTTCCCTGCTGGCAATTTCATTTTCGGTAGCAAGACATTGAAACAGGAAGTGGTTGATGAAAATGTTTAGACAATATTATTGTTATTACCTTGGGTTCCGAGTGGAAAGTAGGGCTTCAGCAATACATCCCACTTTCTTATATTCTCTGCCACCCTCTTTAGCAGAGTCCACGATTGCCCACAATCTCTTATCTCCTCCTCGCATTGCACGATCCCTTCATATCACCCTCCCACCAACGACATACTCATCACTTCCCATCTGGATTCCATTCGAGTGATAGCCTGACTAGTGCGTCATTTCATTCGATAGTCCACTCAACGTATTACCAATCCACCTCTATTTTTTTCCCAAATATTTGTTCAGCAATCGGCTCTTTGTTGATTTGTTCCACTGAGGAGTTTCTCGTTGCTAATTCTTCCTGACCCGCCGGCTGGCTGGCCATTCGATCTTCAGTATGAAGCCAGCTGATGAAAGCAGTTTTTATTTAAAGTCTGCAGTAACTTGTTGGAAATCCTTTCCGTGACTCACAGGTCAAGTTTCTCACCCATACAGAAGAATGACTGACTGATCTCACATTTGTGTCGAAAATCCAAATCTTGTTGTTCATGCTGCTGAGTGAGAGCAAAAGACTTCTAAACTGATTTCAGATTGATGAAGGTGTGCTGCCTTGCCTTTGCGATTCTGGCTGACTGACTGCCTTTGATATCTTAATTCGTTCTAACTGCCTGTGGTTGAAACAGTGCTGCCTAGATAAGTGAAGCAAGGAAGTAACATCTGTCAAATCTCTGCCATTGGTGGTGATTGGCGTTGGTTGCTGTTGATGTCGCTGTTGGTGGTGGTTGGTTAACTTCATTACCTCCGTCTCCACCTTCTCTATGTTCACCTGGGTGACTCTTGTCTTCGCTACCAGCCAGCCAGCCTCTTGTGCCAGTTTGCTGGCTTTCGCCTGTCTGCCTGAAAGTCTTCGAGTCGGGGTGACATTGAACATCAATCATATACGCGTGAAATCCTTATCTTCTGGAGTCTTCTCGTCGGTCAGTGCAGCGTACTCCTGTCTTCTCAGTTCCTGTGCACAGTCTGACGCATAACACAGTCTACCACAATAAGGAATTTCATTGGTCATAATAAGCAGACCGTAGACCGTGTGTTACTCCTGCGTCAACTCCGAATTCCTCTGTTGTGGATCACCTGACGCGTGGCATCGTCATATAGCCAACTCGAACAAATCTTGCGGAGCTAGGTACATAGGTCGTTCTATGCGGGTCTTATCAAAACGTGTTAGAGAACATCATCCAGCATGGGTGCAAAGAGGAGGCACTGGTTCAATTAGAAGCACAATAACTGAACATATCGTCAATACCTGTCACAGAATATTAACTGACTCATCATTTAAAGTCATTTACAAAATGAACAAAAATCTACCAAAGGCAGTGTGTTTCCGACTTCTTTGTATTGTGGAAGCTCTCGCCATATGCATCGAAAAGCCGGAGCTATGTGTTCAAAAGAAACTAGTCCAGCCTCTACAACTACCGTGGACCTAGTTCGGTATGTTCCCTTATCCTTCTTTTTTGTTGTTGTTTTTATCTCTGTGTGTAATTTTCTTTCTTTGCCTTCATTCAGTTCATCCTATTTTTGCAGTTATAAAATCAGTTATTTTATGTTTGTTTCCATGCTGATCACACTTGTAATCCGTTTAGAATAACCATTTTACAATAATATTCTAATCCTGTTTAATTTTTTGTTTCTATGCCTCTTGTAATCTATATTCGCACCTCCTAACTTAAATCTCAAGCTGAAAACATTTTTGATTTCAATTTGTTTCCATGCTCATTCTGTTCACACCTGTAATTCGTTCTACCCCTTCGTCTCTATTTTATTTTTATTTTTGATTACAGCTTGATTCCGCACGTGTTTTTGGTACAAGTATGGAATTTTCAGCGTGGATATCGGTAGCCCAAATTTCGCAGGTCGACCATAGATATCAGGTGTGCGTCGGCGTGGACTCGAACCCCGGACCATCGGCATGGTCGGCGAGAGTCCTAACCATTGTGCCACCAACGCACATATCAAGTTGAGAATAATTATCACCTTTTATTCGCCTTGAAAATTATTTCTCCAGTTATCAAATATTAATTTTGCATACGTTGTAACTGTTTTCTAATCCTATGCAATCTTGTCTCTAAGCCCCTTGTAATCTTTATTCGTACCTTCAAACTTTCATATCAAGTTGAAAATTATTATCACCTTCGTTACTATGTGGAATTAAACAAATAATAATTGTATCCATGTTAACTATAAATGCGATTGTATAGCTTTTCAGAATGCAATCGCCGAAAAGATATCTGGGTTGCTGAACTTCGTGTTCTTTTCAACCGTCAAATGAGGTTGATAAAGACTTGAGCATTGCATACTAGAATGTTGAAGCAGTTTCCATATTACTTCTCCGTCAACGCTGTCGAGGGACTTTTTGAAGTCGATGAGGTCATGGTACAGTTCGGACTGCCATCCTATGCTTCATTTAGTGATGACGATATGTAGGAGTGCAATCTGATCAGCACATGATTCGCCTTCTTTTAATCTAGCTTTTTCCATTGTTGAGGCAGTTCAGCATTCATTGCATCCTTTATTTTCTTCAGGATGATGCGACTTAGAATTTATTTGGTATGGAGAAGAGCATTATTCCACGCCAGTCAGTTCTTGCAGAGTGAGGCTAAACAAGGTAGCCTTTCTTCCAATCAGTGAAAACCTTTCCTTCCTTCCAAACGTTTTGCGATAATGGCGTGAGCACATCTGTCGCAGTCTTTGGGTTTGTTTTCAGTGCTTCGGAGTAGAGAAATTCCCTATGTCCCTGCTGCCTTCTTGGAATTCAGTAGCTTGATCGCATTCAGGGTTTCTGATTTCGTCAGAGGATTAGTGTCCACTGTCAGTCAGTTATGTGCGTGCTGTTGATGGTGGTGTATTTCTGGGCGAATTGAGGGTGATGGTCGATTCAAGAGTAATTTGTTTTATTTGTTCCTCCTTCTTGATAATTAGGTTCCCTTGAGCATCTTTTATTGGTTTTACTTGCAATGATCTCTTCCTGGATAGAGACCCGGTAATCTGATATGATGTCATGGGGTCTCTTTTACCTGCACCCTGCCTCTTCTGTTTCAGTTACTGGTCACTGTGTCGTAGAATTGCCTTTTGTCTCTCTTTTTTACTGCTTTATTCAGTACGATGAACTTCTCCTTCTGTTGTCTATCTTTGAATAGGTTCGTCTCTGTTTCACCGTCTTCCACTCTTCTATTAGCTTCCATATGTCCGTTGAGAGGTATTCTTTGTCTTGTCTCTTCTGTCATCCTAGAACAGTTTTACACGTTCCCTTGAATATCGCCTTCAGAGAGTTCCAATGTCATTCCACACCGATGTGATCGGCGATAACACGTAGTGTCTCGGACTTTGCTCTGATCTGATATCTAGTGAAGGCATCCCTTGTGGTTTTGTCCTTCAGTTTCTGAATACTGAACTTGAATCACAGTCTGTCTCTAGTTTTTATGAAGGATCTCAGCATGACCCTGAGGGTTCCTTGAACTAGGAGATGGTCTGAGTGAGCCCACATCTGCTCTCTTCTCGATTTTGTGTCCAGCAGGCTGCGTCTGCAATTCCTTGAGCAGTATTGAGATGAAGTCTATCCGGTTTGTGGTGTGTCCGGCAGAAGAAATCCATGTTACCTTGTATCCATATATATCCTTGTGCTTCTACACGCTTCCCCTGATCACTAAATCATTGAAGGCTTAGAAGCCCATCAAATATGTTTCGGTAATGAGTGAATCTAAGGGAATCAGTGACTGACTTGAAATTAGTACTGTAAATTCGTATCGTGTCTCTGTGCCTGCCGCTATGGATCTCCACACTGGTTTCAAAGTTGCGAGAACCTGTCTTGTTTCCCTAATTCTAGCTGGCTTTGACATTATCCTGCAGATAAAACAGTGGTTGTGGGGAAAAGCGAGTGATTTGTTCTCATTGTTGATCGGATACGTTCATCAATTCTATCTTCCCTATGTTCAGCTGCATGCCTTCTGTCAGTTTTCCAGCCTCCGCATGGAAACTTCCTTGTTTATACGTTGTCTGGTAAAAGCTAGAAATAAATCAATAAGATACAAATCATCTGTAAAATCCAAACCTTCTAGAATCTCCCTGTAGGCCCAACACATTTCAGTCTTCTTACTCTTCACCATCCTCCACATGATTCAGTTTATCAAAGTTAAGAAGAGCATGGATACTAGCAGGTGAGTGTGTCTTACCTCTGTCTTCACTTCAAATGTATTGGTTAACTTTCGTCTGGGAATTAATTGGCAGCACTGTTTAATTCGTTAATGCGGGATACAAATTCCTTCTTTTGAGGGTTACTTTTCACAGTGCAAAAAAACAGGATAACATTGTCTCACCTACGCCTCACTATTTCTTATTGTTGGCCCTGTCAAAGTACCATATCCACCTGGTAGAATTGGTTTCTAGGGTTGGATTGCAACCAGTTTAAGTTGCATTTTATTCTATTATACTCTATTTTGTGTGACAATGTATTGATTTTACGGAGTTCACCTAAATTTTCAACCTTTTCATAAAATTTGTGCAATAATATTGTACATAAAAACACTTTTCGCCTAGTAATATTATGATCGGAAATTTCGTCTTATCAAGTTTCAGAGATTCTACTAGAGTTTTCGGGAAATTAGAAAACGGGTCGTTTGTTGTTGAATATTTTCTCCCTGGAATTACTGAATTATTTCTGTATGTGTGCACTGACTTACATACTACAACTTGACAAATGAAATTTCTCCTTCAAATAAACTAAAATATTTTACTGAATATGAGATTTTCCCGTCGATTGATTGAACCGAAGTGCTCGGTCTCAGGTTGACATGTCGGCTTCTTGTGTAGATGCTTTAGTAAGTATTTGATTGGTGGATGGTGACTAGCCCACATGTCAACCTGAGACCTAACACTTTGGTCCAATCAATCGACGGGAAAATCTCATATTCAATAAAATTAATGTGACCCGTCGCACAACAGGTGGCTCTCGTGGCCCGAGTGGTCTAGTGGATAACGCTATGGCGTTTGAAACTATGGGCACTGGGTTTGAGCCTCAGTGGGAACATCATCAGTCACTGAGAAGTGCAGGTACATCCAGCTGACGAGTCCCAATTAGGACGAAATGCGCTTTATCCTGGATTCCACTGCTAGTCACCATCCACCAATCAAAAACTAAAATATTCTTTAATTTACTTGATGTACTTCAGTGTAATCTATACATAAATGTATGTGTTATTTAAATTTTCCTGGAATCGAACTGTGGAAATTTTAACTCCAACTGGATCAATTTAACAAATGAACATATCACTGCCCTGGTGTACAGTTTAGCATAAATAGTTAATCAAAACTAATGAATTTTGTGACAAATCTTCTTTATGTGACTATAACTAATGGTGATGAGCATATTATTAGGAAAATAATTTCCCAGGGGTTCCTGGTGGAAAACAGAAAGTACTTCAGCAGTACATCGCCATTTCACTGCGTTTAACTACAGTCATTCTGAGACGGATTCACGATTACTCATAAACTGCCATTTCTTCGTCAAACAGTCTTCTGCATATCACTCATGAACAGCCAAACTGTTGCTTCATGTTCAGACTTCAGTTGACGGTCTGGTGCTTGACATGCCCGTATCTCAACAGCCTGTGTGATAATATCTTGCAAAAACCACAAATTCCAGTGAAACTTAATCAATTCTCACTTACAGTGCCGTAAATCTTCCCAGTTAAAACGTTTTCACAATGTACTACTTTCTGTGTGTGTTTTTCATACCTTTGTGTCTTATTGTAAAACTTACACAAAATATTCGTTTTTTCAGGAAAAACAAAGTAATGTAGAAAATCAGTTGTTTTTTTTTCACTTCTTTTTATGATCAAATTTGTTGTTTATGATTAAAATCATAAGCATAGTAACTATATTGGTCAATATTACTTACTTCTTCAACAAGTTCAAGAAGATCTTTTAAAAATCCGTATAACTCCAAATCTTCAATAGCTCCATTCTTATCCTTAAAGAAAAATAAAACAAATTCCTGAGTATTTACAGCTAGTGATGCAATTTTGCAAACTTCCCAGACAAGACAAATTACTTACTAATGTATTTTACTTCCCCTTTGATGTATTTGACCAGCTTAACTTAGGTACGTAAGCTCTGTAAATAGATGCCTCGATACTACCTGGATTAGGAATTCGATGCTACTTGCTGGATGATGGTTAGCAGTTGAATCCAAGATGTGTGTATCATTCTATTTGGGATAGGTATCCTTGTTTCCCAATGAGTGGTGGTGGTGTTCTCATTGGAACTCGAATGTGATAGTTATATCACCAAACTGTGAATAGTTATTCATTCAGCTACATCGGCTACCTCAAAAGCAATGCCTTAGCAACCCAATGAACGACACTTCAGAGTCCTAATTATTAACTACCGGATTCGAGTTTCAGTGAGAAGACTACCACTTACTTAGGGAGCAAGTATATCTAGCTAACAAATTCAAAATAGGATAAAATAAGTGTCTTTCTAAAGCTTATGGAAAAACTAGTACTTCTTAAACTTGAACCCTTCCTTAAAAGCTTTGAAGACCCCAAACAATTTGCCTATGGACAGGGTGGGAGCACTTCAGGGGCTGCAGCTGTCTTACACAACAGTATCATCTCGTCATTAGATAAAGGTGCTAAATACGTCCGCCCCACATTTCTCCACTTCACTTCTGCTTTCGACTCTGTACCTAGATGTCTCTTGCTAAATAAGCTCTCGATGACACAAACTGAGTCCTGGGTAACAAACTGGTTGCATTCCTACTTCTCAAACAGAATGCAGTACACTGTATACAAAGGTATATCCTCCTCTGCTGTGCTCACTGAAGCTGGTGTCCCTCGAGGTGTAGTACTCTCCCCACTTCACTTTTCTTTCTTTCTACACGACCTACCATCTTCAAATGACATTAATTTTGTCAAATATGGTAACGACCTGCCTGTATCTTTGCCTGTCAAATGTCAAAGTGACTGCTCCAAACAAAATGGCTTTTATCAGAAATCAGACAATCGTCAAAGGAAAACGATCCAACCTTAAATTACTCTAAATGCCAAACAGTCAATTTCACCTTTAGGTATAAATCTGACCTAAACAAACTGGTTAGCACTCACGACGTGTGCAACATAATTGGCACTGAAATAGAAACCAAGTCGGAAATTAAATACCTGGGCGTCATTCTATCTGCTGATATTTCCTGGTCGTCCCATATCTTGATGATTTCTAAGACAGTATTCCATCTTACCTTCTACATCAAGAAGTTAAGACATTCTGGTATAACGCAACCCTTACTCTTACAATTCGTTAACTCTTGCATCCTGCCTATTATTCTCTATTGTTCCCCCTTAGTTTTTCCAGGGCTACTGAAGAAAGACTATACCTTATCACGCAGGATGTTAAAGGTTGTCAGCAGGGTAAGCAACGTGCCACTTAACCAGCTTGTTAATATTTTGGTTGACAGGCACATGGACTCATGTGAAAAATGGGCTAAATCCATTTTATCTAACTCACACCACCCTCTTCATTACAGCTCTCCCCTTGAATCTCATCAAGCAGGACCAGAAGCCTATATAGGAGACTATATGCTCGCGCTAGCAAGTGCAAAAACTCAACCATACCCTACTTATTTAGTGTTCTGTGTGATAGAGAAAGCATTAGGCGTGATACCTATAACTCCAGTCTGTAGAACAACTGGATCTCGTCTTTCCAACTCATATCATTTATAGGTACAACGTTTTCTTTCTTTTCCTTTTCTCTTTTTTAGTTATGTTCTGCTTTGTTTCCTACTTCCTTACAAACTCTATTAAAACATTCTTATTCGTTCTCTCATCTCTGTATATCTCGACCTTTTGTTACCGCTTACGCCAGTAAATATGCTGCCATCTACTTTTCTAACACCTTCAAACACTCTGCTCAATTTTGACTTTGCTACCAACACACCAATATGTTGTTGTCATAATGAAGTGAGATTACCTCAATGTACTGTGGCGACTAACTATTTCTATCTCTGTATTGTTTAAATACTTACTGTTGATTGTTAATATATTTCTTATACGAATTGCATTAGAATTCCGCTAAATACAAATTCCTGAATTCCGCCCTCTCTGTGTTTTGGTTGGATTCGTGTAATTCGGTTATCTCGAAATACTAATACTACGATTACAAATAATAACAACAAATTGGCGTCGCGATAGAACCAAATAACCTCGGAGAATTTCCTATAAATTGTTCACCGCGGGAGATCGCTGATTATCTTGAATGCTTCGATGCATGGTGCATTTCAAAGAACGTTCGAGATGACAAAACTCCAGCACATTTCATCACTGCTATTGGACTAGATGCATATAGCCTGGAGAAGACTCTGTCGTTTCCAGATAAACCCATTTCTCTGTCATATGACAAGATTCGTGAACTTCTGATAGATCACTTCCATGTAACTAATTTTGAGACACGAGAGAGGACTCAATTCAACAAACTGGTTCGTGCTCCCAATCAGAAGATAAGAGACTTCATTCTTCAACTTCAAATACAAGCTTCGAAGTGTAACTTTGGAGATCAGCTGCATACTCAACTACGTGATCGTCTAATTGCTGGAATCAATATTCCTAAGTTAGAGAAAGAGTTAATTCAGATTCCTTCTTGTACCTTTCAAACTGCTAAAGATGTATGTATTACATATGAAGATGTCAACAGTGAATACTCTGCTCCCACTACGTCAGTATCTGATGTCATGCTTTCTAAAGTCGAAAATACAAGTGTTCATGGAAGGTAATCCAAACCGTCGTCCACAGGTAATAGAATGCAGCCAGAGATCAAAAACATTAAACCGTGTTTTTCCTGTGGAAAGTTACATCTACGAAGCACTTGCCGTTTTCGGGGTGCTAAGTGTCACAAATGTGGTAAAGTTGGACACATCAAGACGGTTTGCAGAAGTTCGAATACTTATGTTGCTCAACATTCTTATAATTCTCCCAAGCTGTTTAGTAAAATGGAGTCAATGTGTCTTTCAACTTTTCAAAATACTCAGTCTCATCCAATGAAAACCTCCACTACAAGTTCAGCAACGCAAGCATCCACTGTTTTCAAAAATGAGGTAGCTGAGTTACAATGCGAACTGTCGAAAACACGAAAAAAACTGAATGAGATGAGAGAGCAACTGATTAAAATGGAGGAATTGGTGCATATGCATAGATTGCGTCTGTTGAATGCAGAGCATACAAGTACCCGTGAAAGTCCTGCAAAACTTTTCAAATCTCGAATTCTCAGGAAGTATCTGATGTCCACGACTTCTAATGTACATTATTACATAGGGAATGACTATAGACCTTCTGTTGGAATCATACTACAAAAAATGGGAAATCGAGTGCTGAAGATATTAGACATCAAAGATCACTCAGTTCATAACAGACACCTGGACAAAGTGAAAATAAATCAAGTTTGAACGATCCTCATTGTTATTTTGACTTTCAATATGTCCTTTTAAGTTGAACTAAGTCTATATTTTTTTTCTCACCCCTAACTCTTTGTTATATATATACTGAGATTTTGTAAATTCCGGTTTAATAATACTTTGAGAAAGCTATTAGCATTAAATAGCGAAACGTCAGTAGAAACAATCTCGTTTTGTTTTTTCATTCATTGGGAAATACAAAAAACCTCTATTATAAATCAAGTAGGTCTTTCCAATTATCATTTTAATGATTCCGCTACTAATCCTGATTTTGTAGATAATTCAGAAATAGGTCCAGATAATACTGATGAAAATAATATCACAGAATCAGTTAGAAGGTCGCAGCTACTTGCAAGCAAACCGAGACATCGTTATAAATACGCAAGGAGATATTCGACGTGTGGCGGATGTGGTGATTGACAATTTCTATCTCTGTATTGCTTAAATACTTACTGTTGATTGTTAATATGTTTCTTATATGAATTGCATTAGAATTCCGCTAAATACGAATTCCTGAATTCCGCCCTCTCTGTGTTTTGGTTGGATTCGTGTAATTCGGTCATCTCGAAATACTAATACTACGATTACAAATAATTACAACATGTACGTAGAATTTATTTATTGATAATGCACTAACTGGATGCTGTACTGTAGTAAAATTGCTGAGAATTCCATTCTGTATCACAAGTACTGTTTTGGAATAAAGCAAATTATTATTAGTATGTCTTGGATTCTGATACTACAAACGGTCAAATGATTAACTCAAGGAGTATCAATGTTTCACCTACGCATATGGTCTGGCATTTTATCTCCGGCTAATACCCTTCTAGACCTCACCCAGCCATCATTTAGTCCGTTAAAGAAGGAAGATAACCTCATGCCTTAAAATCAACACAGCTGCTACCGAAACATCAAAGCTCAAACTGGAGATCTTTACAAAAGCTCCATAAGTCTGAAGCCTTTCGTTCCACTCTAAATGTATAAGGAATGAATGATAAATAAAAGATTAAACTTTTATATCATAGTTTTTTCATCAATAAAATCAAACTTTCAGTGTTTTACCACTATTTTAGTGCAAATAATTGCTAAGTATATTCCATCCAATTGGTTCGGAAATCCTGTTCTCTTCTTCAACAGCATAAGGAATAAGATTTGGATTTTCGACACCAATGCCAAGTCAGTCACTTATTTTATATTGTTCAAAAATTGGTCAGTAAGTCACGAAAAGATATTACAACAGGCTGATGCAGACTTTTATCAACGACTGCTCACTTCAATGAATGCATACTGAATATGAAATTACTGGCTACAAAGAATTAACAACAAGAAACTATGGGAAAAAACTAGCCGAGGACCTATTGTTCTTCAACAAGTATTTAGTAGGAGATTTAGATGGATAGGGCACACTTTGAAGGGACTGTCGAATAACGTCACGTACCTGCCATCCCATCGATCGAGTGGGTCGTCGATGCGACTGTGATATGGAAGAGATTAGTTAATATGTAATTAGTCAATAATAATAAAAATGCTTCTATCAGTAACAAGGATGAAAAGTGAGGCGATCTGCGATAACAAAAATAACGAAAACCGGCATGAATAAGTAGACAAATGTTCAGGTAGACATGGTACGATATAATGGTGACTTATCAAGTGAGATTTTATTCCAGAAACTTTCCAGGAGTATACGGAGAACTTATTACACAGCATGCCCATGTTTGCAGTTCTCTAACCGATGGATGATTAGGACGCAAACGAAAGATAAGCTAGATGGTTTTGCCGCATCTATATGCATTTATCACTTCAACTGCACATGCGGTGACAGTTATGTTGGGCAGCTTAGGCAAAATGTGTCACAACTGGGCATCTCCAATAATGGTTTGGTGAAGGACAGACAAAAACAATACGTCGTTTCATTTTGTCACACTTAGCTGATAATGGTCATGTAGTGGAGAAAACGAAAGCTTTTAAGGTAGTTCATCGCATCCCACCGAATCTTTCCAATAGAAATTGCATTCGTCTACTGCGCAGAACTGAGGCTTTAGGCATTTGAACTATTAAACCTAAAGAAGTTCGTACAGCCATTACCCATCCCCTGTGTGTTGACCTATTAAAACCTAACCGACAGATGACTTCTCCACTACACCTAACTTACATTTCCAACTCCTCTCTTATCTTCTATTAATCTTATCACATCTTCATTAAAAACGTATTTCACTCACTTCACTTGCAATCTAACATTACATAACCGGTTCATTTGTTTTTCTTAGACTTTATCAACTACTATAAGTACCTGAACATTTGTTTGTTTAATCAAGCTGTTTTTCGTTATTCTTGTTATCACAGATCACCTCACATTTTCATTCGTACTGCCGATGGAACCATTATTACTATTGTTATCATTACTACTATTATGACTAATTGCACAGTTTATATGCTTAACCTTATTATCCTATTGACAAAACACCTTGACTGATTTATATTTTAATATTTATTCGTACAGTTATGTATATTAGAGTTAAGCATAAAGAAGAAAATGTACGGTTAAGTATTCTGAGACTAAATATCGGATGACATATGTTCTTGTTCTATATTTGAAGCTAGTAACTAAGATTTATTGCGGAAATTATGCGTGACTTCCTTTACACAACTGTTCTTGTACATCTTACAGTACAGATGTATTGGATATATTATAGGAATTATGCAAACTTACAGTGTCATACAAGGCGAATACACGATCTACATCAGCTGCTGTTAGTCTTCCGCCATGTCTAAATATCGGCCGACATAGAAAGTTTTCTTCAACTGGAATTAGGCTGAAAAAAATGTAAATTACCAAGTTATATATATATATATATATATCATGTAGAATTGTAAAATGAAATGCGATGGGAGTTGATCTTATTAATCAATGGTGCCAGGGTCATTGGTTCTATTTAATGTTGCCAAACATGACTTCTAGTTTATTTGTGAATAATTGTCTTTGGGTAAATTTCGATTGACCTGTTGTTTGATTAGACGCAAAAATTAGATGGAATGTGCATCCTTGATTCCACAGTCAGTCACCATTCACCAAATTACTTGTAAATATGAAATCAATTTGTGGATGGTGACTACCAGTGGAATCCAGGATGTGCATTTCGCCTATCCCATTTGGGACTCGTCACCTGGATGCACCTGCATTCCCAAGTGAGTCAGTGAAGGTATTCCCATCGAGGCTGGAACCCAGTGCCCAAAGAGACCAAGCCCTTCGGTCCAATTAATCGATGGGAAAATCTACAATGAATTAAATATTTGTAAATATATTCAAAAAAATTACTCACACTAATAAAAATCTAACCTAACACACACATAATGCAGTTGTATCAAGCAATATGATGTAATAAATATCTTTAAAGCTATTCTTTTGTTTAACCAAAAGTGTGGATAATAAATACTGATAGTACACTTTAATATAGAGCTTATCCGTGAAATTACATTAAGTTTTAGATTATGAGAAATAAGAAATAAGACATTTCAAGTAAGTAATAAGATGTTCTAGAGCCTTACAATTGATGATTTAAAGTAGATTCTAACCACTGTTTTCGAGGACTTCATAAGTAGCTTCAACTGAGCATGGTGAGTGATATTCACAGTAGACTATATCCAGTGAAGACAACTTTAGCTAATAAGTACAAATACTCGTGTAAGATTTCAAGTATGACCATCGACTGACTCTGATTAGAGGACCATTGACAATCAGGGAGTGCTGGACAGTCGTTTCGTCTTAATTGAGGACTCTTCACTAGCATGCAACCATCACCTCTCCAGAGATTGATTCCAAGACCTACAGGTTACAAGGCGGCCTTGTTTACTATTCAGGCACTGGGACGGATGCCATTTCGAGGTGTACAACTTGACTACCAGCCAATATTATCAGTCAGTATCTGTCCTCACTACCGAATTGTTGGACCCCACTGGTTAAGACTTCTCAATAGGACTTCAGGCGAATTTTTCCTGAAGCCAGTCAACAGTGAACACTAGATTAAGTTTCAAGTGTTGATTTGAAGGGATCTGATTTATTTGCAGTTTGATCATAAAGTGACTTTGGTTGAGGAAGCTTGGAAAATGAACGAGTACTTAATGGGAAGCAACACTTGAAAATTAATATAAGAGATGAATTTGGGAACTGTGAGGGAATTTACCTCCACCATTGGTCAGTTTACTCAACACAACTTACAGTAATACAGTATTACTAACTGGATGGCACCTTGAGCATAATTTACTGCCCATTAATATATCTTTATTGTAAATTTTTTTCAAACCTCAATTATAAGTTGTCTGTGGCTGAATGCCTTCAAAAAAGCACAGTTAAGTAAGTAACAATAGAGCTATATCTGAGGCGATCCGCGTGTTATTTAAACAACGCGTGAATGCCGGACACGAAGTAAAGAGATACGAATAAACAATATTCAACAGTAACGAGTATAAAGTATAAAGCATATACAGCAGATAATGTTCATCTATAAGAAATTAATTACTATGCATCAAACAGGGCATAAATACGTTGAATACATTTGAGACAGAAGACAAGTAGTTCAGCGAAGAGTCTCTTTTCGGTGAATTCATTTTCATAGCTGTACAATCGCGAATATATATGGTTATTTTGTGTGTATACATTAAATTTGTCAAACAAAAATACAATTAGTAAGTTCAGATTAATTGGATGTCGATAAGAGGATAGCAACAAAAGTGATGAGTTGTCAAAAATGATTGTTAAAGAGGAGTAAGTTCAGGTGAATTGGATGTTCATGTAGGAGGATAGTAACAAAAGTGATGATTTGTCATAAATGATTGTTAAATAAGAGTTACGTAATGGCATGAATAGTTTGATGAATGAGTTGTGCTCAGGGTGTACACGGAAACAAAATAATATACAGAATTACACAAGGGTTTTAAGTTAGAAAAATAAGCATACAAACAGAAGTAAGGTCAAAACAAACAAACAAACAAACAAAAGTTAGATCAAATCAACGGAGTTGTTACCATGCGAGTAGAAGTGTAATCTACGAAGTGAAGAACAACCTTCCAAAGACAGTACGATTCCGTCTTCTTTGCATCGCAGAAGCCCTAGCCATCCAGTTGGTGGAACCAGAACTATTCATACAAAAGAAAATTATCCAACCACTTCTACTCGCATGGTAACAACTCCGTTGATTTGATCTAACTTTTGTTTGTTTGTTTGTTTGTTTTGACCTTACTTCTGTTTGTATGCTTATTTTTCTAACTTAAAACCCTTGTGTAATTCTGTATATTATTTTGTTTCCGTGTACACCCTGAGCACAACTCATTCATCAAACTATTCATGCCATTACGTAACTCTTATTTAACAATCGTTTTTGACAACTCATCACTTTTGTTGCTATCCTCTTATCGACATCCAATTAATCTGAACTTACTAATTGTATTTTTGTTTGACAAATTTAATGTATACACACAAAATAACCATATATATTCGCGATTGTACAGCTATGAAAATGAATTCACCGAAAAGAGACTCTTCGCTGAACTACTTGTCTTCTGTCTACAATGTCCGAATGGGGATTATTCATGAATACATTTGAAACCAAAGTTGTGCTTAAAAAGTAGAAATACTTATACTACTTACTAATGGCTAGTAGTATAAATTTAAACGCAAAAGAAAGAAAAGCAAAGGACAAACGAGAAAAGAATTAACAGTTATACTCCTACAACTTTTTTAAAAATTTTTGTGTACAGTCTCTTGTTTCCTATTGTTTCTATTGCAGTTTCCCTATATCTGGTTGACGAGCATTCTACCTCTGTGCCATCGACGCACAGTCACTGTATGATATTTGCTGAATTATGAAATTTTACGTAATTTGATCTAGGATAAAGCAATAAGAAGACATAATTTGTCTGAATCGTGTAATGTATTTGCGCAACACATTTCGAACAATCTGATCACACACGGACTTGTCTTAGGAATGTATATGAAATTAATAAAGAGTTAAGGGGTGGGAAATAGACTTAGGTCAATTTAAAAGGATATATTGAAGGTTAAAATAACAATGAAGACCACTAAACCGAATAGCAGAGGTAATAGTAAATCTGCTGTGGTATCAATCAAAGTTTACCAAGGAAAGTTTAATGTGATGACAAATTGTTTTTGAACGCATAAAGGTGGTTTAAACTTTCCAATTGCTAGGGCTTCCACAAACTTTAGGATACGTTTTATAGATAGGTTTTAAAGATATGTTAACGTTAATTTTATGTCCTGTCTCCTCTGTAATAGGTTCCGAAATAGTGGAGCTAAGTCACCGGTTCTCACCATTAATGGATTCTGAAAATCCTGTTTGTTTCTGCAGCTATTTAGGAATATGCTTTGAAGCCAGCCCTTACTTGGAGAGATCGATGAATCCTCCCTATATATGTGTGTCCACACGTACATTCAAAATGGTAAATACAGTGGGATGTGACATCATTTTTCGCATGTTCATAGGGCTTAGATGGATATACTGGCTTCAAATTCTCAATTATTATGATATTAGCCGCATAAAAAGTCTTTTTACCACAGCAGCGTTCAATCTTTGTCTAGTAATCAATTTGATCTGTCAGAACCTTAAGTCAGCAAGTGTCAATTGTCTAGACCGCCAAAGATCCTAAACCTAGCGCTGATTTCAGAAAACTAATCGATTCTTCAGAACACTATGTGCGGTAACCAACGTGAGAATATCAGAAAATGGATTGGGGATACAAGGATCATTCATTATTTCTTCTCCAACAGAGGAGCAGTACAGAATTACAAGGCACAATGTCTATGAGTTAACGTTAACATAAAGCACAATAATACTTCTAATCTTTTTTTCTCCAATCTTCTACCAACCAGCGTACAATTAGACAGTGGCCACCATTGTTATTTCCCGCGAAATGGAGATTAGTTTGGATAAGCAAACTATATGTTACCCATTAAATGTTCACCAACATTAATACTAAGTGAGTTGATTCGCTTCAATGCTACCCTACTGCAAACCTTATTTAGAATCCTACCTATGGTATTCGATTTTCATCATTTGTATTGTAGTACTATTGAGACTGTGAATTTTTCGTCACCTACACTGTTTTTAAAGCTTGTGGCAAGTCATCAATTGTCGAGATTTTCATTACACATGAGTGTGTCAGTAGGCATGATGCCTAAGTTGAATAACAAGATTTAGAGTGAAAAGGTGAAAAATTATTGTGGATAATAAAAAAAACTTGCAATTCTCAGTTTACATAGCTGTAGGAGAAATTTTGTCACAGTTTCTTTTGGAAGTCGAAATTAATCAGACTACTGAATGTGTGTTGTGTACCGCTCATGTGAAACTGTGGTGCTGATTAATTCAAAGGGTAGTCTACGTTTTATGGATTTAGGAGATAAACCATAAGTTATTCCATGTTAATTTGTTTATTAGACATATATCACACAGTTTGTGGAACAGCATTATCTACTGGATAACACAGTCTCCAACACAATTTATTGTTCATAATCATATCATCAGTTATAATCACACAGCTTCGAAGCTTAAGTTTAATATTATTTCCTATTCGTTCTAGGAATAATAGAATTTTCCAGATTTCTGAGTGCCCAGACATTGAATCATTCCTATTACACATGTTAGCAGTTGATTCGATTTAGGACCAAGAACTTGAATTTAGAACAAAAGTCCCACTAGGAGACACAGTGCTAGGGAGTCTAACTATGCCTAACTGAGGGAATTGCCATGGGGTCACCACTATTCCCTGTTGTGGCAGATATATTCATGAATAGTTGCGGAAACTTAGCAACTGAAAGGTTCATTCCCACCCCAAAAGTATGGTGGAGATATGTAGATGGCACATTGACCATAAGTAGAACACAGGAGGAATAGATTTTTTGAACGCATCAACTCAAAGGTGGAGGCAGTTCAATTCACTTATGAATCAGAAAGTCAGGAAGGGGAGCTTCCAATGTTAGATTGTTGCTTAAAAAGGAAAAAAAGACGGGGAGTTAAACACTAGTGTTTACAGAAAACCCAAATATTCAATTCAAAATTTCGATTTCACATCATTCCACCTTATGTAAGGTAAATAGGACTGGTGAAATGTTTAAGTAATAGAGCACAAAACTAAGTAGTACCAAGGAAAATCTAAGACAGGAAGTGAAGAATATAAGAGAAACTTTGAAGCTTAATAATTACCCTGATAAATTAATCAGGAAGTATTTTAGAAAGATGTAAAAATAAAATTAATAATAATGGTAGTGATACTGATAATAACAGTAATGATATTAATGGTGACATGCATGTCGAACATTTACAGGATAATGAAAACAGCAACAATAGGGACTATAAGTCATCGATGGTACTTCCATACTAAGGAGAAACCTTCGAAACCATACAGAGAATTCTTAACAAGGTATGAATAAAAGTGGCATTCAAACCCATGAACTTTATTAGAAATAAGCTTTGTTGGTTAAAGGACCTCATGGTGCCAACTGAACAAAACAATTCAGTTTATATAATACCCATGCAGAATGATTGTCAGGCCAAATGTATAGGTCAAAGTAGTAGGAATGGGTCAATGAGTAAGACTAGCGGAGCACAAAAACGTAGCTAAATCTACATTAGTCGACCCAAATAAGACAAGAAATGTAGAGAATAGTTCAGCTTTAGCACTACAGGCAATTACACACAACCATAAAATAGGATGGATAAGATGAGAGTTTTTAAATCCAGTGCAACAGAGTTGAGGGAGATTGATAATCAAAGCTGTAAATACATCTATTAAGAATAACTAACCAACCTTTCACTCAGAAATCTGGAAAATTCTATTATTCCTACGACGAATACGAAAGAATAATGAAAACTATTAAACTCAACTTTCGAAGTCGTGTGATTGTAATTGATGATATGATTATGAACAATAAATGATTTTGGAAACTGTGTCATCCAGTAGACAATAATACTGTTTCACAGACTATGTGATATATCTAATAATTCAATTAATATGTAATTACATACTACCACAGTGCCCAAGTTTTAGACATACATCAAACAATAAGTTACTTTCGAAGTATCAATGGACTCAGTTTTCTTTGTGAATTGAAAACATATGCTGGTTCATTATTAGTACCTTTTTGAAATATTTCAGTCTCATTGCATGTTAAATATACGTGTAACTGAAAAGAGAATATTCTATTTAGTGTATTTCATCGCATATATACCCTATTCTCATGATCAATGAATGTCATAGGACTCTTTTCCAAACTTCAGGTTCTTTTGAAAATAGACAATATGGCTAGTTTTTGCTTCTGTTGAACAAAACAACTAGCTTATGAGGAGAAGTAGTTAACTACACTGAGCTTCTACAAAGAATTTCAATAGAGCGGTATCCTTAATTTTCATCAATCACTGACAGTAGAACTTTCCCAAGTATTTGGTTTCCAATGGCTGTCTAATTCATGTGTTGGTCTGTAATCAAAGCGTCTTTGAAAACAATTAGATCATCAACCTTGAAATGAGAATAAATTTAACTCGTTTTATATAAGTAGAGTCATTAAAACTGAACTGAACATTACCGGGACATTTCACTCAATTGTAACTTTCCATCTTGATTAAGATCGAACAGTTTCAACTGAAACAGAAAAGTATGGTGAGAAGGAAAAGGCGAATTATTATTATTATAACAGAATACAATTTAAATAATTTAAAAATACCAACTTAAATATTTGCAAAAAGCTACAAATATAGAGAAGAATTTATTGGTAATCACAACAATACAACTTGTTGACTATTGATGAATTGATATCAGTTTATGTATATATTTAGAGAAACTGACAATAATTTATTGTACTACTTTCTTCAAATGACCAAGAGAGTCCAGTTGTACGTATGTGGTGAGAGCAGGCTGCTAGCCTAATTGGTAGACAATTATTTGCGTCAAAGTTTATGTCCCCAATATTGATCGTGAGAAAATATAAACAAAACTGATTCAACAACCAGTCACAGCAGACTTTGCGTAAGCAGATACAGTTAAAATTTGGATGACCTGACATTCAAGAAACAGTCACAAAGAGATGCAAGGTCAACTTTCTGTGGGAAACAACCAATCAGAAAACTGTGTTTGTTTGCTTGAATAAGCTATAATAATGTACATGAAAATCTATAAATACGTGTTGATTTCCTTAATAAACGATATGTTGTCTGACTCTTGCCTTCTGTCGTTGCAATCGGTGTCGTTGCCTCCGAAAATATTTATTTATTTAATTTTATTTTTGATTACCGTTCGATTCCCCGCTGTATTTTGGTACAAGTATGGAATTCTCAGCATAGACGTCGGTAGCCCAAATTTCGCAGGCCGACCATAGATATCAGATGTGCGTCGGAAGGGGATCGAACCTCGGACTATGTGCATGATCGGCGAGAGTCCTAACCACTGTGCCTCCGATCCTATGACCAACTGCGTTTGAAGAAAAAGACATACAGAGCTTATAACGTGACTTCGAGGTCGTCGCTGTGCTGGTATGTGTCAAGGAGCAGGCGGCAAAGGCAGTTGTCTTGGGGACGCTGTTGAGAGGCCGAGAGAAGGCGGTATATGACAGCGTAGAAAGAACAGATGGCACAGCGTCTTGGGAGACATTGGTTGAACGATTGGTGTCGGAGTTTGACAGCGCAACAGACAGACAGCTAGTAATGCAGCAGTTCCGTTGAACGAAGCTGGGACCTGATGGAGACCCGTTAATGTTGGCGGTGAAATTGACGAATCTACTTCGACGTGCACTTCCCACTTTGGGTGAAGAGTCAGAAGTGCAGTTACTGACTTCCCAGTTCATCGAAAGTGTCCCAAACCATATTTCTCAGCGATTACAACTGGTTAACGCATCGCAGCCAATGGATATTAGTGAGCTGGCGAAGGTGACCAGACAGCTGCTGAGCACAACTGTAGCCACTATAGAGCAACCAAAACCAAACGAATACGAGCAGAAAATAGAAGCGTTGCAGTGAGAAGTGGCGGCGTTAAAGTTAGGTGGCAGGAAAGGCCGATGTTTTGAATGTTGTAAGCGGGGACACTTGAGGAGATACTCCCCAGAAAGGCGAAAAAGAAAAAGTTCTAGACGGTATAATACGTGTTCTTTCTCTTGTATAAAACTAGATGTAGTGGGGGCTATTGAGAAAGGGGCTGTGTATTCGAAGTTGCGAGTGAATGATCAAGAAGTAGTATGTTTAGTAGATACAGGAACGGCTGTGTCGTTAATAGATAAGAACTTATGTAAGAGTGTTAGTCCGTGTTCATTGACAGTACAAACAGTAGGCGGGCATGTGCTACGTATCACGGGTAGATCGAACTGTACGGTCGTTGTTGGCAGCTGCAAGGTGACGTTTCCCTTCATTGTTGTACCCGAATTACAACGAACGATACTTGGGGCGGATTTTCTGCCTGAGATTGGTGCGATAATCGACATGCAAGCGAACGTTGTGATCACGAAATACGGGCATATCAGCAAATATGAGACCAGCGAGATAGCAGCGGATAAGCTGTCTACGGTACAAAGTATGACAGAGTTAAGACCGTGTGCCATGCCAACAGTAGTAGAAACTTTAGATCGCCTACAAGGCGCGAATGTGTTTTCGGTTCTCGATCTTCGCTCAGGATACTGGCAGATACCGATAAAACAAGGTGATAGAGATAAGACGGCTTTCATCGTGGGTCAGACACAATATCGATTTAAACGCATGCCGTTTGGACTAGCAGGTGCACCGTTTACGTTCAGACGACTGATGAAGCTATTACTTAGAACTTGAAAAACGTGGAGGTTTATGGTGATGATCTCGTCATATACAGTCAAAACGAAAACGATCACGTCAACCATGTAGAAGCCGTGCTGCGACGCATCGAAGAGTTTGGACTACGCGTCAACAAAACCAAGTCTCAGATAGCCAAAAAGAATGTTACTCTGTTGGGACATAAAGTGGGAAATGGTGAGATTAAACCACTGCCGGAGAAAATTTTGACGATTAAAACGATTCCAGCCCCGAATTCAAAGAGAAAACTGAGACAATTCTTGGGTAGAGCAGCGTTTTATAGTCGCTTCGTGAAGAACTTCAATGAGATAGCAGCCCCTCTATACAGGCTACTAGGTGAGCCAAAGTTTGTTTGGTCGGAAGAATCGCAGAGGACATTCGACAGAATTAAACAGCTGCTCGACCACCAACAAATGACGCTAAAACTACCTGTGCCAGGAAGACAGTTCACAGTGTGCACAGATGCCAGTGACTACGCTATAGGTGCGGTCCTAAGACAGGACGAGGGAATCGTTGAGTATGCCAGTAGGGTTTTGACACACAGAGAGAAAGTATTCAACGATAGAGAAAGAATGTTTAGCAATGGTATGGGCAGTCGACAAATGGAGACCTTATTTACTCGGCCGGCGGTTCCACATCGAAACTGATCATAAGCCGCTACAATTTTTGAAGACAGCGAGAGACCCACGGGGGAAGTTGTCACGGTGGATGTTGCGTCTTCAGGAGTACGATTTTACGATCTCACACGTTCCTGGAAGTGAAAATGTCTTGGCAGATTTGTTATCGAGACCAGAAGATGAGTCTGAGTTGCCCGAGGTCGCTTACGGAGTGCATGCAGTAGAACAAGACCCACTAAGACTTGCACGTAGGCAGAGGTTGGACGATACGCTGAATACAGTAATACAGGTGATCACCAACGGAATAGAAGTGGATCAAACTACGGCGAGTAAGGAGCTAACCACACTACTCAGACAGAGGGATCGACTCAGAGTGAATGCCTACGGGACTCTGACCTGGCGAGAGAACGACGGAAGCTGGCTGGCTGTCATACCTCAATCGTCGCGCCACGACATGATAGAAGAATGTCACCAGCTAGCGCATACAGGCGTGGCCAGAACGACCGACCTCCTAAGACAAAGTATGTACTGGCCAGGTATGAGAGAAGACGTAGCAAGATACGTACTTGGATGTCCACGGTGCCAGCTGATGAAAGGTGACCGGTGATACGACCACCACTTCAGTCGATTCCAGTTACCGCGATAGGTGACTTGTGGTCCGTAGATGTCATGGGTCCATTTCCTCAGACATCCAATGGTAATCAGTACCTCTTGGTGATGACGGAACACGCGACACGATGGGTAGACGCCGTAGCAATCCCAGACCAACGTGCAAGAACCGTGACAGATGCAGTAGTTAGACACATTGTTGCAGACCACGGCGTACCGAAGACAATACTGACAGACCAAGGTCCCTGTTTCGAGAGTGAAGAGTTTACTTCCCGTTTGCAACAGCTGGGCATCAAGAGGATCAGAACGACCCCATACCATCCACAAACGAATGGCCTAACGGAGAGAAACAACCGTACACTGAAGGAGTGGCTGGCCTCGAAGGGCGGGAACTGGGAAACGGAGCTTCCACTGATTTTACTAACACATCGGCTACCACTCAGGAAACAACGAAGAAGTCACCCTTCCAACTGATGTATGGTAGAAAACCACGATTACCGGTACACAATGAGACCTGGCCCATGCACCAAAAGTGGAGTACGACGAAATTAAAAGCAGAGAGGAAAGAGGCAGTCAAGAATGTAATGCAGAAGCAGCGCAGTGATGTCGCGAAGTCTCAGATGAAAGAAAGGACGCAGTGCATTACCTTTGCAGTCGGGGACCAAGTGAAGTGTAGAGACAGGAGATATACAGTTGGATGCGGGCTAGGTTCACGGAAACTCCTTCCAAAGTGGGAAGGACCATACACAATCACCAAAAGACGGGTTCAAGTATATACCATCCGAAGAGGTGATAAACAGAAACGAGTTAACGCCAGTCAGCTCCAAAGATGGGTACAGTGGGACAAGCCGGTCAGTAACAATCCTCAACTAGAGGATGTACCACCCAGAAGGTCGAAACGCCTGCGCGCGAAGCTTCTTGACGGGGGAACGAGTGTGGTGAGAGCAGGCTGCTAGCCTAATTGGTAGACAATTATTTGCGTCAAAGTTTGTGTCCCCAATATTGATCGTGAGAAAATATAAACAAAACTGATTCAACAACCAGTCACAGCAGACTTTGCGTAAGCAGATACAGTTAAAATTTGGATGACCTGACATTCAAGAAACAGTCACAAAGAGATGCAAGGTCAACTTTCTGTGGGAAACAACCAATCAGAAAACTGTGTTTGTTTGCTTGAATAAGCTATAATAATGTACATGAAAATCTATAAATACGTGTTGATTTCCTTAATAAACGATATGTTGTCTGACTCTTGCCTTCTGTCATTACACGTATATGTAAATGCCCAATGACAAGTAAATTCACTCTTATTTTGTATTTTGCCTTTCGTAAAGCCCCACATTAATACCCCCAAATGACTTTCTTATAATAAAGTTGGTGAAGTTTATTCATCAGTTGGAGGATTTCAGCATGAGCTTACATCACTTAGAGAACCATTGGAAAACCTGGGAGTACTGTACAGTTGTTTCGTCCTAGCTTGGGATTATTCAGCAATCCATATCCACGCCACGGGGTTCGAACGCAGGACCTTCTGGTTACAAGGCGAGCTCGTAGACCATTAAGTCATTCAGAACTAACCCAGAAAGATCTCCTGGATGGCTAGATGCGTTCTCCACTGATTCGGTTATGACGCATATATATTTTAGTCTTGTAGTTTTATCTGAATTATTTTGCATTATGTGTACGTTGAAAATATATTTTTCATAGGTTTTACAACAAGTTACGACCACTAGTTGGAAATTAAATTCTGATATTTCAGAATAAGTTTTTTAAATGACACCTATCTTTTGATCATTTTCGAATAATGCCTGAATAAAATAGACACTTGGTAATCACCACAACTCAGGCTCACATAAACTAAGTTTATTGATAGTGAGATAGTATGAAATATCAGGTCTTTCGTCCTTAATGGAGTGAATTGTAAAGTGTGTTAGGTAGGCCTTCCAAGGAAGCTAAACTGAGAGCTATCAGAGGAATGTGTACTGCTGATGTATTTGACAGCTTATAAAACCTTACATGTTCGCAATGAAATTCAAATTCAGTCACTCGAAAAGACTCACTAAAAACCAGTAACTCGCAGATAATTAGTCTGTATCTTAAGATAATGCAAGGTTTCTTAAAGTAGATCAGTGAAATAGGAAAATAATTACCACTTCATTGAGATTACGTGTGCCTTTTTGTTCAGTGGCAAGCATATAATATTTCCTAATACGTCTGTGGCTCACTGGTAGAATGATCACCGACCGTTTGTGTTGTCCAGGGTTCGATTCCCTGAAAATGCATTCACTAAACCCTGCCCAATTTCCTAGCTGATAGTAAACTATATAAAGCAGAAAGGCAAGATATGAAGCTAGCAAATCCATCCTTAATCACAGCTCTTCTGAAAATTCAAATTATCAATCCTTAAGCCCTAAGTTCTAATCAAAACTCAAGTAATTACTGTTGTTACTGTAATCACCTCGGGTTCAGAGTGGAAAGTAGGTCTTCAGCAACGCATCCCGAATGTTTTCTGTTATCGGCTGTTCTCTTCAGCTAGGAAGCTCCGAGATCACCCATAATCTCTCACTTTCTCCTTGCATAGCATGATCCCTCATACCAACATCACACTCATCACTTTCCATCTGCATTCCACTCTAGCGATAGCCTGACTGGTGCGCTATGCCATTCGATGATCTCCTCAACGTATTCCCAATCCACCTCTATTTTCTCCTAAGTATTTCTTCAGCAATCGGCTGTTTATTGATTTGTTCCACTGAAGAGTTTCTCGTTGCTAATTCTTCCTGCCTCGCCAGCTGGTCGGCCATTCGATCTTCAGTATGGAGTCAGCCGTTGAAGGCAGTTGTTGGTTAAAGTCTGCAGTAACTTGTTGGAAATCCTTTCCGTGACTCACTGGAATGATCAACTGACTTCACATTCGTTTTGAAAAAACTGAATCTTGTTCTTCACGATGTCTGAGTGCAGATTTTCAGACCAGTTTCAGATTGATGAAAGCATATTTCGCCTTTCGGATTCTGCCTGGCTGGCGGTTTGGCTGGCTGACTGGCTTTGATATCTTCATACGTTCTAACTGCCTGCGGTTGAAACAGTGCTGTCTAGATAAATGAAGCAAGGAAGTGACATCTGTCAAATCTCTCCCGTTGATGGTGATTGGTTATCTTCATCACCTCCATCTCCACCTTCTCCATGTTCACCTGGATGAGTCCTGTCCTCGCTGCTAACCAGCCAGCCAGACAGCCTCTTGTGCCAGTTTGTTAGTTTTCGCCTGTCTGCTTGCAAGTCTTCGAGTCGGGGTAACATTGAACATCAATCATCTACCCGTGAAATCCATATCTTCTAGAGTCTTCTTACTGGTCAGTGCGGCATATCTCACTTTTCTCATTCCCTGTGCACAGTCTGATGCATAATCCAGTTTACTGCAATCAAAAATATCATTAATCATAATAGGCAAGCAGTCAGCCTTGTCTTACTTCTGTAATCACTTCGAAGTATGACAAGGCTGGGAAAGTATTTTGTTTGTGTGTGTGTGTGAGAGAGAGAGAGAGAGAAGGAGGTTGAATGATTTCTACTTTCGGTGTTTAAAGTCTGTCTCTTAAAAGCTTTACTATTTATTGGATCCAATATTTTTATTTGAGTGACTGCCTGTCCACTTATGTAAACAGTGTGTAAGTGGTAGAGCAAGTGGAATTATGTAACCACCATATCGTGAGATAACAGATAAATATTTTTTCCTGACTATATCAGTCTGCAATTAATAGAAATTAGTGTTGATTTAAAGAAGAACTCATTACGTCTAATGAAAAAAAAGTGTTTGCTCAGAAACATGAGAGTGAAACACGTTTCTAAGTCTTAAGACAAAAAAAACATCAAACAAGAAAGCAAATTTTTGCTTACAATTGTATCAGTGTATTCAATAATTTTTTCATCGAATTTCTCATCTTTCTGAGTTGTCCCAGTAGATAAAAGTTCTGTGAGGAAGTCCTTCACAACGAAAAAAAAATAACAATGATTCAAGCATACATCGACTATGCAAGTGTGAACTTAGTCATGGCAGTTAAAACCCAAATGTTACCTTATATGAGTCAACAGTTAATTGGGAATTCATGGGTCTTGCGATTTAAAACAATCAGACTTAAATGATAGCGACAAACTTAACATTCCTTTTAGAATCGAATACAAACAGACTTGACTCTATGTGTGGAATAATCACGCGATGTTTAAATACAAACAGAGGTCAGTGGGGTTGTTTTTCACGAAAGTGAAAGAGGGAATATGAACGTCTGGTGCTTACAAATGGATTGTTGGATATGCATGTCTATCTCGAGGATTTAGGAAACTTTGAGTGCAAATCTCTGGTGTGGACAGGCTCAAGAATTCGAACTGATAGAAAGGATTATGGACGTGTTTTTGTCACCGAAAACTATCTGAAAGCAGACAGTGACTTAGCTAAACTGAATTGTTGATCTACCTTCAAGTTATTTTAGTAATAATTGGATGTCAGTGAATTCCAGAGAAATATATAAATGGAGTTAAGCTTCCATTGTCTTATGAAAGATGTACGAGTACCCACGGAGGACTCTGTGGAGTTTTTGAACAAATATTCAGCTTATTTCATTGTTTTTTGACAGTGATGTTTGCAAAATAACACAAGACTACAAGACTCTTCAGAGGCAAACCACTTGGAGTATATTCACAACTACGCGATCATTTATTCCTTTAATAAAGTAATTTGTTGGAAATCCTTTCCATGACACGCCAGCCAAGTTTCTGACGCAAATAGAAAAAGGAGTGGCTGATTTTATGTTTGCATTGCAAATCTGGTTTCCGGGAATCTTGCCTTTCCGATTCTGGTTGGCTGACTGGCTTTCACATCTTCATCCGTTCCGACTGCCGTTTGTTGAAACGATGCTGACTAGATAAGCGAAGCAGGGAATTGACCTCTTTGAAATCTCTCCCGCTGATGGTGACTGGTGCGTATGTGTTCCCCCAGAGTCCTTTCTTTTCTGCCTCCTTCTTCTGCCAATTTGCTTGTTTTCGCCTGCCTCCAAGTCTTCAGGTTTGTATGACATTACACATAAATCATCCACACGCGAAATCCAAACTGTCTTAAGTCTTCTTATAGGTCAGTGTACCGTATTCCTGTTTTCTCACTCCCTGTGCACAGTCTTCCACATAATCTACTCCACCACAATTAAGAATATCATCAGCGATTTAATTCCATTTCCTATTTCATAGTAGTCTTTCTTCATATCAATACATAAGTCTTTCAAAGTTAACTCTTAGTTGTCTGGTTGAAAATCTCCAGGAACACATTAACATAGTGAAAAGTGAGAGATAATATAAAATACTCCTTAACATCCGAGTTTGAACTAGCAGTACCAGAATACAAGTAAAAACAATAGAGCACATATACTGTCATAGAATTTTATATTGGTGAACTTTGAAACTTGCTGTCTAGATGTGACTGTAACCCTAACAGGCTACAAACTGGCATAAACTTTGAAGTCATTGAAACATATATCTCATTAAAATATTGTTTAAATTCATAACTAAGATGTCAATTAATGAAAAACTATATATACAATATGTAATTTCATGAACATTGGAAATGAACTATCCTATTGTAATTGGCTTCAATCAGAAATCCACTCATGAATTTATCTGAAATTCAACTTTATTACAGTGAAAATATAATTGGAAACTTCTCCAGGCTGTTTATTTCAACCATTTACTTACACCTTTGTGTTAGATATGATAGCCTTTTAGGTCACTGAAACTCATAGAAGGCTGTTACCAAAGAATAGTTGATTAAAATGGTTTTATATTGCTTTCAGTCAATTCGGTCATTTCATCTGTCATCATCAAGTTTATAAAAGGGTTTTTAAAGTAATGCTAAATATCAAAGATAATGTCTGTACTTTGGTTAACCTTGTGCAGATGGCGGTGATTAATCTAACTGTAGAGAAAGTGAAAAAGATTGTGAACATGAATTCAAATCAGGTTTTGCACTTTCGTAGAAATTGCTTATTAAAAAAAGTCAAGGATATTCTTTTTTTTTTAAAACTTCATGCAATTCTTCCCATTAATAAAATTGAACAAAGCAAGAACAAAAAATTGTACCAGGATAACATGAGCTCATCTTTTATTATTTAATCGAGGATTCTTCTCAACTGGTTACAACCTGAACGTTAACTTAATATGAATTACATTAAAGATATGAACATACTTTTCCACGATCATAAGGAGTAATTGGTAGGAATTAAAAGTAACATTAGTCCGGAATGATTTAACTGATTAGGAGTTACAAACACTGACTATTTATAGAATAATTAGACAGTTAGGCTTGGAAACAAAAAGAATAGGGTTGCGTTTATATATATATATAAGTAAAGAAACAAGGTTTAGCTGGAAAGAGCATAACAAAAAAGTAGGTTGCGTAACTAGAGAAAACGTCTTATCTAATAGCCAATAGAAGAAATAAAGTAAAGAAAAGAGGCAAGTTAGGGTGAGTCATGTTTAGATGAGAGAGTAGAATTTTCTAAATATGAAAAAGGTGACCTATGAAAGTTGTATATTTTTTTGTTATCACCAGGGTAGTGCAAGATTCACCACTCTCTCTTTCTGCTTACACATATTTGGTTTAAGTCATTTGATAGCAATGGCTTCACCAAAGCGTGGCAAGCAAGGTTTCTTTTGCTTGTTGATTATTTTGAACGACTTCAGGTTGTCTACAATATGACCAGTGTCCAAGAGATGATGAACAATAGCACTGTTTAATGTTTGCAGGCCTTTCAGTCTCAGGTTCTTTGGTATGTGTTCATAAATGCGGACACTAACCCTTCTCTCTGTTCTTCCAATGTATGTGCTTTGGCACGTACATATAAATTGGTAGACAAAAATGGAGGTAACATGAGGTGGGCATTTGTCCACTTTTGATTGTCTCAAACAACTAGTTGTCTGATAAACACATACAAGTTTGGCGGCTGGATATGTTCTTTTCAGGGCAGCGTTCAGTCTGCATGTTATTCTACTAGCAGTATCATCACCTATGAATGCAAGCTGCAGAAAGATAGGCTATTTATCTACTGTGCTGCATTTCACTTTTTCAACATGACGTCTCCCATACTTGTGGATGAACGTTTGTGGGTAACCTTTGTGGCGTAGGCATTTCTCCACAATGGATAGCTCTTCCTCAATCATTTCTTTGGAACACGGTTTCCTCACACGATCACAGATGTCTTCTGAATCTAACTGAAACTAATCACCTCATAATTGGATATACTTGGATAAGGAATGAATGAGCTATAAATAAAACATTCTGTTACCGCGACAAAACCAATATACTGATGGTTCAGTGGTGGAATACCTTCCAACCACACACACAGTCTTCATTCGATTCTCGACGACCGAATCAATCATTTAAACTTTGCTAATCTGGTAGTAAACCGAGTAGGGAGGGAAGGCTGAACTTAAGGCTGGCAACTCCATCCTGTAGAAAGTATTATTGCAGCTGGTGAAACTTCAAAACTCAGGCTTAGGACCTCCGTGTTCCAGTTGGAGAACTCAAAGTTATCGGAAAAATAATTAGAATTCAACAATAACAAAATAAATGCCCATTAAAAATTTTCAAAAGAATGGTTATTGAAAAAAGAATATTCTTTTCGATAACTTCATCATCAGATTCCATAGTTATATATGCATACAAAGAAAGGGAATGAATTAGCGTTAGTAACAACACGAATGTTGTTTAAATAACATAGAATGAATATTAATATCGATGGATTACATTTCGACAGCATCAACATAACAGTACACTGAATATCAAGCAAGCTCGTATACCTTGTAACGGGAAGGTCCTGGTTTCGAATCTTTGCAGTGGGCGCCTACTGCCGATAATTCAAAAACTAGGATGAAACAGCTGTCAGTACTCCCTGGTACCCGGTAGATGATAGACAGAGATTCTTCAATTCCATCTTTGTAGCCGGTTTGCACCAGGTGGTGGACCGGGCAAAATCTCAGCAGTGAAGAATTCTTCTCTATCATCTACCGGGTACCAAATAAATTGCCAAAAATATCCAGGTACGGAATACTTCATCCAGCTGAGGCTATTACAATTTGCCTTAAACAATCGGTGCTCTGTATGCAGAAGAAGCGATTCCACCCATTAATATTGCCCTGCACTTCAGTGGAGACTATAAATTCATAAATTTGTATTATTATTTTTCCTAAGTTTTCTGATATTCAGTGTACTGTTATGTTGATGCAGTCGAACTGTAATCCATTGATATATATTATTATTGATTCAATGTTATTTAAACAACATTAGTTTTTTTTTAAAAACTTCATGCAATTCTTCCCATTAATAAACTTGAACAAAGCAAGAACAAAAATTGTACCAGGATAAAATGAGCTTATCTTTTATTATTTAATCGAGGATTCTTCTCAACTGGTTACAAACTGAACGTTAACTAAATATGAATTACATCAAATAAAGTCGAATTTTTTTCATGAGTCATCCTTTTTCATGTTTAGAAAATTCTACTCTCTCATCCAAACATGACTCACCCTAACTTGCCTCTTTTCTTTACTTTATTTCTTCTATTGGCTATTAGATAAGACGTTTTCTCTAGTTACGCAACCTACTTTTTTGTTATGCTCTTTCCAGCTAAACCTTGTTTCTTTACTTATATATATATATATAAACGCAACCCTATTCTTTTTGTTTCCAAGCCTAACTGTCTAATTATTCTATAAATAGTCAGTGTTTGTAACTCCTAATCAGTTAAATCATTCCGGACTAATGTTACTTTTAATTCCTACCAATTACTCCTTATGATCGTGGAAAAGTATGTTCATATCTTTAATGTAATTCATATTAAGTTAACGTTCAGGTTGTAACCAGTTGAGAAGAATCCTCGATTAAATAATAAAAGATGAGCTCATGTTATCCTGGTACAATTTTTTGTTCTTACTTTGTTCAACATTAATGTTGTTAATAACGCTAATTCTTTCCCCTTTTTATGGATGCATATACTACTGGGGAACCTGATGATGAAATTATCGAAAAGAATTTCCTTTTTTCAATAACCATTCTTTTGAATAACAAAGAAGTCTGTAATCTAGTGACATTTTATAGAAAATAGAATATTCATTGAAAGAACAATACATTCTCAGTGTTGTTATGCATACCTTCAATTCATCCGCTTCGATGAAGCCACTGTGGTCTTTATCAAATTCTCTCCAAACCTAAAAAATATCAACGTATACAGAGGTATAAGGCACACACACACACAACATGGTATGAATTTGGTGCTCAGTTTATAAAAAGCTGTGCAAAAAAAAGCCTGGAAATACTAAGAGGTCAAAAGGATTTGTTATTCTTCAAGGCTGACTGTGCATATGTGGTTCAGGTTTTCAGATTTACAAGTTAGTGTCTCACACATTCTAAATTATCAGTCTAAAAAGCGGTTCGTTACAATTTTGTTGTATGGAGTGAAAAATAGAGCTCAAAGATTCGTGTTTGCATGGCGAATAGACATTTCGTTGACATCTAGTGAAAGCAACATACATAATATTTTTTTAATGACTGGCTAAATTGAATATGATTCATAAGAGCAGAATTTCTGGAAGATAAAACAACTATATTGAGTTGAATATAAATACTACGATTTCATATTATCGCTGTAATTAATTTATTACTCATTCCTAGCGTGGCTAGTGGAGCGTATAGTTTCAGCAGTACATTTCCACTGTACCAAATTGTTTATCCTTACTTGCAGCTAGCCTACAACCATTCACAAGCTCTCATTTCCTCTTTAAATGATCTCATCTATCTCATCCTGGCACACAAAAGACATTTCTTCAAATCTGCAATCTATTCGTTGACGTGGCAGGAGTTTGATATTACTTGATGTCTTCCTAGCGTATCTCCAGTCTACTGCTTCCAAGCCCCTCTTGCTTCTCCGATCCTGTCTAGCTTTGATATTCTTGTCCGTGCCGCCACCTATAGTTAAAAAGATTCTTCCCAGTTAGGTGAAATAGAAAACGTCTCCAACTGATGGTGTCTGCTACGTACTGGTCGGATAACTTCGTCACATCATGAACTTTATATTTATGTATTTTTTTGATTACAGCTTGATTCCGCACTGTATTTTTGGTACAAGTATGGAATTTTCAGCATGTGATATCGGTAGCCCAAATTTCGCAGGCCAACCATAGATATCAGGTGTGCGTCGGCGTGGGCTCGAACCCTGAGCCATGTGCATGATCGGCGAGAGTCCTAACCACTGTGCCACCGATGCATAAAACCCGTTGCAAGCAGGATATTTGTCCATGAAAATCAATCTTATGTGTATATTTTTTTTAATTGGCGTTGGTGAAATGAGAAGAGACGAGAAAGATAATGAAATTCAGAAAAAAGTTAATAAGGTGTTCTATTCTGACAAGTCTTACAATTAAATGAAAAGTCTATCCATTGTTGATTGTTGCCTAATATTAGTTCGCTAGATTATATGCATACAACAATGAATCTATAATAAACTCAGCCAATTCTCCAGGCATTAATCAATGAAATTATTCCGATCAAAAATGATGAGAGTAACTGACGAATACAAAAGTAAGATTTTGCTTATTTGTACTTGCGTCAGAGTAAACTATTTCATTTAAGTGAAAATATATATACATATATATTTATGAGTAATACAAGCTAAAGACTATACTTGTCTCAAAGATATCTTGAATTCATTCAAAAGATTTGTATTCGATATTGTATTCTTGATAGAAAGTCTTATATAACTCTAGTTTACAAACTTTTTGATGACTAAACCCATACCAGTAGTTTTGACGACAATCTATCTCAGTTCAACAACGATTGATGAACACTTAAACGCCTTTTAGTGGTTGACCTTTCGCATTGTAAATGACTGATGTTAGACACAATCTCCATGGCTGACTGTAACTCATTCAAAAATACATACAATTACGAGTGAACTGGTATTTTGGATACATTTATTCTAATGAATTTCGGTAGCTTAGTAACATGTCGGTTGATCGCAGTCAATCTTGATTAATGCGAAATTATTGTTGTTCAGTTTATATCGTGTAATACCACTGTCATCTGGAAAGCGAGATAAGAATTCACTGCTGAGAAATGGGAGCGGTGCAATCCACAGCACTAGAAACAAGGATTGGCATCCAAAGTTTACGAAATGATATGAAGTCATTCTGTGTTTTCTTAAATGCTTCAGAGAACTGGTGCGCACATCATTAAACGAATTTTCGGTAGGCTAATGAACACCTGCCTGCTTCACAACCTTTAATACTGAAGATAAGATAGTCTGTTGGAAATGATGAACAACATGGAACTCTGACAGATAGCAAATCAGTAAACGATAGCCTACTATTCAAAAAGTATTGAGAAGGAAGTGGAAATAGACTGAGCATATGATAAGGCGACATTAAAGTTAAATCATACTTGAACTAGATACCAAATAGGAAGTGACTGGTTCTGTAAGGGGAAGTGAAGGCTTGTAAGTAGACGTGGAGACAGATGAAAGTGACAACAGACGAGTGAGTGCCTTATGTTCCACTCAGAAAACATAGAATGAATAATAATTTTCCATGACTGGTTTGTAAGGATTAGATTTGTTTTTAACGAGTTGATCACCGATTGATATGAGTTAGAGAACCATGGAAACCCAGGGAGTACTGAACAGCTGCTGTTTCATCCTAGTTGAGGAACCATCAGCAATAAGCAGCCACTGGGATTCGAACCCAGGACCGATCACATAAAATTAATCTGATGCTCGCTAGTGACTTGCTACAGGTTGGAGTTTCCTGAGTTCTAGTAAGAAGTCGTGACCGATGAAGTTCATCCAAATGTCAAGTGTGAGGATGGATGTCCCACCGACGACACTGGTTGAGCTTGCGCTAAATAACGAACTATTTGACGTTAGAATTCATGGGATGGCCACTGAATTGAGTCCCATTGGCTGAATAGTATACGAGCTTGCCTTGTAACCGGAAGGTCCTGGGTTCGAATCCCATTTGGTGTGTACTGCCGATGGTTCGAAAACTAGGATGAAACAGCTGCCCAGTACTCCCTGGTTCTCAGTGGTTCTCTAACTGATATCAATCCATGACCAAATCGTAAGAATAATAATGATAGTGCTTGACATCAAACAATTTAAATCGTTTATCCTGCTGAATAGCTGTTGTATTAGTTTTGTGCTTGATTTATACAGACTGATTAACAAGCAATAGAAGTACAAAGTTTAGAAAAGTTTAAGTGTTTCACATTTGTTTTTCTAAATATAATAACAATAATTGAAAGTTTTATACGGGAGTAGATATTTTGAAGTAGAACAAGTCAGAATAGATAGGATTTAATTAATTGTGCATAAATATCAAGCCGTCTACACAATAGAAATAATGATGTTTCCGATTGCTGTGTTCACTGTGCTGCAGTGCTTCACTATGCTTCCTACTAGCCAAATTAAAACATGAACGACAATTGTACCACGTTAGTCTGAGCTCTTGTTTTTTATTATTTCGTCGATTATTCTCAACTGGTCACAACCTGAACAATACTTAATTATAAATTAAATTAAACATTTGAACATAACTTTATACAATGATAAAGAGCAATTGATTGAAACACTGGTTAGGAATGGTGTAAGTTGCTAAATAATTAACAGTGAAAAGGGTTGAAGAAGAGTTACATGACTAAGCTTGGAAATAAAAGGACAGAGTTTAACAGGTGTTTTGCGGGTAGAAACAAAGTTTAACTAGAAAGAGTACAAAAAGTAAGAGGTTACGTAACCACAGAAAAGCATGTTCTCATACATAAGACAGAAAAGGGGGTAGGATGAGTCGTGCTTAGACGAAAAATTCGTTTTCTATACAGGACAGTAGATGACATAGTGAAATTTTGGCGTTTTGTTATCACTAAGACAGTGGAAGATTCACCCCTTTCTCTTTTTGCTTACACAAATTTGGTTTTAGCCACTTGATGGCGATGGCCTTAGCAAAACGAAGCAGATTAGGTTTCTTTTGTCTATTGATTATTTTGAATGCCTTTACGACACTGCCAGTGTCAAGTAGATGGTGTACAGTTGCACCATTTAGTGCTTGTGGGTTCTTCAGTCTCAAGTTCTTTGGTATGTGTTCAGAGATGCATGTTCCAATGCATGTGTTTTGGCACGTACATGTAAATTGGTAGGTGCAGTTGGAGGTTACGGGCGTCGCCAGTTTGTCCACTGTTGACTGTCCTAAACAACTGGTGTTTGATGAACACATATAAGATTAGTGGCTGACTATGTTCTTTTCAGGGCAGCGTTTAGTCTGCATCTTATTCTACGAGCAGTATCATCACCTTTTCAGGTAAGGTTTAGAAAGATGGGCTTTTTCTTTTCTGTGTTGTATTTCACCTTGTCAGCACTAATTTTTTCCAAGCTTGTCAGTGAACTTCTGTGGGTGACCATTATCAGCCAAAGCATTTTTTCAAGAGTGGATATCTCTTCTTTAACTTTCTCTTTTGAACATAGCTTCCATACACGATTAAACAGTGTTCTCGCCAATCCCTTTTTGTAACTTATAGGGCAGAAGCTTTTGAAGTTAAGTTGTCCTCTAGGTCTCCTTTCTACAGGTGTAATCTACGATTTTGCCATCTTTATCGCGTTCGATGCCAAGGTCCAGAGAGTGAAAATTGACCTCATCTTCACACTCCATTATAAACTTTATATTAGGATAAGCACTATTCGCGACATCTAATATTTGAGATGAGCCACTGAAATAATCACATATGACAAATATGTCATCGTTACACCTGGTGTAGAAGTCTATCTGATCGATTGCGGACTTCCTTCTTGTTCGCTTTAAGTTACCCCAAAAAATGTCTGCCAGAATCGGCCACAGCGGACTTCCCATAGTGACTTCATCACCTTGACGGTACAGAACACTGTTAAATTGAAAATGTCTGTCCTTAGTATATATTAGCAGCAGTGGTCTGAGTTTATTCTTCGACAGAGAAATGAGATCAACATTTTGGCATATAATTTGTGCTGTTTCTTCTAGCAAGATCTTTGTTAACAGCGAGGAGAAGTCGAATGACATCATGAATTTATTTAAGACATCTAAATTCTCTAAGTGTTCAACGAACTGAAAGTTGTCTTTCAAGCTACTGACAGAAAACTTGGCACGGATTGGCTTCAATGGTTCTGCTAGCCACCGAGCTACTTTTTGGTACA